GTGAACAAAGTCAAGTAACTCTGACTAGAAGGCACTGATTTCTGCACCCTACCCACTGCCTTAAAAGGGCTATTTCATCCCATAACGAAGCAAACCACAGAAATAACAGTGCACTACAGAATCTGATGTTGTAAAACATGACATTCTAGGAGGAAAAGTCTATTCAGGGTTTCAACCTCATTCATGTCCCATCTCACTCCCAAGGGAAGAACCAACCGCATCATGTGAGGAACTAAGAAAGGGACCTCTGCCAGTTTTGATGTTCAGGAGAAAGGCAAGGCAAGGTGGGGGTCTGGGTATGTGGAAACACAAGGTGGAAGACCAGGCTCTGAAGGTGAGCACTTTGAAGGAAATGTGAGAAGTGAGAGTGGAAGGCAGGGCTACCTGCGCACAGTATTAAGAGTGAGTCTAGCTGTGGCTCTAGAGGCTGAGGCAGGAGAATCACAAATTCAAGGCCAGCTTTAGCAGCTTAGCAAGGCCCTAAGAAACTTTGTAAGTCTCTCTCTCAAATACATAAAAAGGGCTGGGGATATGGCTCAGTGAAGTACCCCTGTGTTCAATTCCTGGTACCAAAAAAAGGGGGGGAAATTTTTTTTAAAAAGTGGGTCTAAGAGCTCCAGCAAGGCTATGCCAGTGCAGGCTGAAAGAGGTGAGAAACGGTACCATAGAGGTGTCTGTTTTCCCTCACAAAGGATATGCAACATTAGGAAAGGAGGCAATAAGATAAAACAACTTACTTCCCCTTTCTATCCTCCCTGTCTTTTCCTTCCAGTCTCACCTTCCTTGTCTATTGGCAGCATTGGGAAGGGACCAAGCATAGGGAGAGAACCCCCATGCTGAATGAGCCCCCATTCAGTGCCAGGCAGCACAGTGAACTTTCACCTTTACTTCACTCAGCCCTAATGACCCTTCAAGGCTTTATGACCGCCACACACTCAATAAGAGGAACGTTCCCAAGGACATACAACTAGGTGGTAAGGTGAATTCAATCCCATTTCTGAACTTCCCCCAAAAGCCATGCTCTTTTCAGAGACCAGAAATGGATAGGTGGATATAAGCAAATCAGCAAGAAATCCAGGATCTATTAGTCAAAATTCATCCCAAGCACTGTGGTGGTGAGAGAAATGGGGACTTCGGACTGTGAGCCCCAAGAGATTCCTGCAGCCACTTGGAGGTGAAAAACAGACTACCATTTGAGATAGCTTGTTAAGGCAATCTAAGCAAACTAAAACATGATGATCCATATAAATTCAGTTGCAATAAATAAAAAGTTACCTATTGTATACTTACTTCCCAAAGTTCATAGAGCTCCTTTCTGAGATCCTCTGGTAGGAGCTGGGTTATCTGTTGCATAGCTTCCTGAAATATCAAACTATTATTTTCATTATGCTCACATTTGTCTAAGTTAACAACTAGTTATGTTACTGCTTAACAACTATACATGAGTTATAGGCTCAGATTATTACAAATAACTCCTATAGGGGCAGTAGAATAAATTGACTTACATTGGTATCAACATTTTTGTGTAGCATTATATTTATTTTCTATTATTAATATTATTTTATTGGAAATTTAAAATACTACACAGGGCAATTACTGTTATTAACATGAAGGAAGTCATAGTATAGACCTTCATAGGTTCACTAACTCACAGGCTGCAAGTGGAACACTTCTGTCCTCTCTCCACAAACATGCTCAGTGATCAGAACCCAGCCTTTCAAGAGACTCCCACATGGGTTTTAGGCAGCACTGTCAAAACCACTTTCCTATGTCAAGCTAACAACAGTCTTTGTAGTTCTTCCACCATGCTTAACCCCATCTTTCCTGCTATCCTCACTCATCCACAAGCATA